GTTTTTTGCTATTACAAATAAAACTGCTTGAAACATTTGTGTATAGGTTGTATGGACATGAATCTTCATTTCTTGGATAAATATGTACCATGAGTACAATTGCTGCATTATATAGTGATTATGTGGTTATTTATTTATTTAGCTGGGAATTGAACTCAGGACCTTGTGCTTGCAAGGCAGGCAGTGGAACCAATGAGCTAAACCCCGGCCCACATAATTTTTAACATTTAAAAAATTGTTACTGGAAGCTAAGGGTGTAGCTCAATAGTATGCTTATTAACAGAAATGAGGCCCTGGGTTCGTCCCCCGCCACCTCCCAGTTCTTTTGGTTATTTCAGTCAAGTTCCTTGAGTTGGTTTTGACTAGGAGACTAGCAGTTTTTCTAAGCTTCCTATTAGCTATACCATGTGAGATCACTCCATGATTATTTTCTAGGAACAGCTTTTACATTTTTGTTCAAATTCTTCCTTTCCTTTGATTTCCTAGCCTTACTTTCTGTTGGCTCTGTGCTCATTAGTTTCCAATGCTAGATCAAGCAGTTTTTTTCTACTTTTATCTTAAAGGAGTTTATGATTTGTGAATATATGAGAGAAGGTTTTGTAAAGCAAGAAATTGGAAGCTTTATATGCTTCTGGAATTAATATTTATATGCACATTTAGTATTTTTGTTTAAAAAGTAGTTGATATGTTTGTGAGTGTCTGTTAGAACCTGAACTCTACTTCAGGAGATTGTGTTAGATGCTGTATTTGCAAAGGTGTAAAGACCCTTCCCTCAAAGATTAGTATCTATGGGTGAAATGGACTTGTAAACAGTTTAATTCTTTGCGGTTAGTGTATTGATAGAGATATTAGGACATTTTTGGAATTGAAAGAGACACTTGCCTTATTATAGAGGAGGAAGAGTATCAGGGAAGCCATGCTTGGACTGAGTCTTGAATGAGGAATAGAAGTTAATTAGGTAAAAATGGTGATAGAGGACATTTTAGGCAATTAGAGTAGTATAAAAACAAGCACATGGAAGGAAATAGCATGAAAATTCCAGAGAGGGAAATTGCAAATAGGTTGGTGCTGTCAAGTATGGAAGGCAACAGCTTGTCAAATAGGCGCTAAAAAATAGATGCTAAAAGGTAAGCCTGGCTTTTTTTTTTCCCATTACATTTATTGGTACATTAAGGTGAACAGTACAGTTACATTCATCATTGGGATCTTGGACCTTTATATGATGTATCTTGGTTCTTATTTTTTCCCCATTCCTCTGCTCTCCCTTTACCCCCTTTACCCTTCCCTATTTACGAAGACTTTGTTTCTATTTTTTCCTTTTTTCATATATTTTCTTTTCCCTTATTTCCTTTCCCCTACCTTCCCACTTCCCCTTTAGACTTTTTCTTCCTATTTCATACTATCAGTTATATACCATTTGAGCCTTATTTACACTTTTAGTTTTTCACACCAGAGAAACGATTCGGTATTTACTCAAGTGTGTCCTATTTATTTAACTCAAGCGTATGGCCTCAATGTGCATCCATTTAGTTGTAAATGTGTATAGTTTCTCATTCTTTATGGCTGAATAATACTCTATTTTATAGAAAAACCATATCTTCATTATCCAGTCTCCAGTTGATGGGCAGTTGGGCTGTTTCCAAGTTTTAGCTATTGCAAACTGTCAAGCCTGGCTTGTTTGGCTGAGTTTGGACTTGATCTTCAGTGGTTCTTAAAGCACTACAGCCTAATGTGTCCTTTTTACAGCAAACATTTTCTAATGCCCCTTTATTATCCTGAATGGAAAATTCATATGTAGTAAGATTAACATCCATAATGTCTAAGACATCAATGACATAAGTGTAATATAAGTGACAAATATAAAGAAACTAATTTGAAATATATATTTTTAAATGTACAGCCACTAAAGGGTAAGCCTGTTTTTTTTTCCCCCGGCATTACTGCATTAAAACATATAATGAACTACTCAGATGCTTGTACCTATATGTAGAATCAACTCTGAGTGTATAGCAACAGTTACAAATATATGTAGATGCGTTGGTAGCTCAGATAAACAGTATTGCCACTGGTAATGAGATTTTCCAAAATATTCAACATCCTGTTTGTAAACCAAACCAAAATATAGGTTGTATTAGTTGCATCCTTGAAAAAATTTGATGTTAACAAAAAACTGTTCAAAAGTAAAGTTAATTTCTAAGCTATAGTGATTATAAGCAGCATATTTTGCCATATAGTGTCAGATGAAGCATGGCAAAGTCATGTGAGACATGGGTTACTTTGTTCTGTGGCATGTTCTTTTCTTTTGTTTTTGTTTGTTTTTTTCTTTGGTACCGGGGATCGAACTTGGGTCCTTGTGTTTGCGAGGCAGGTGCCGAACCACTGTTTTTGTTTTTTGAGCAGAGTTTTGCTTTGTAGTTCAGGCTGGCCCTGAACTCACTATGTAGCTCAGGCTGTCTTTGAACTTGAGGTGTTCCTACTGCCTCAACCTCCTGAGTGCTGGGCTTACAGGGGTGCACCACCGTGCTGAGCTATGGCATGTTCTTGAGCAGGACTGGCAGAATGCAGAATATAGCTTGTAGGCCTCACTGTCTGTATGTGTGTACAAAGCTGAAAAAACTTACATTTTTAGAGTTACAGAAAAAAGGAAAAATGTGCCATAGAGATGCTAAATTAAAATTTGCCAACCCCTGTTTTGTGAGCATTGCAGAGTGCCTACCATTCCTATCTCCTGTTCACTAGATACCAACAGCTCTCTAATCACTGTGAACCCAAATACCATCTCCAACATTTTTCAGTTGAAAGCAATACTGCCTCATCGTAAACTCCTGCTGTATCAGTTTTCAAGTTTTCATTCCTCTGTGAAACACTTAACAGATAATGCATGCATGGTATATTTCCATGCAGAGTTCCTGTGCTTGTAATTTTCTTTTTATTGGACTTTCCCCTTCAAGGAAACACAACGAGGGAGGACATTTTATTATTTTTTTGGTACTGGGGATCAAACTCAGGACCTTGCGCTTGCAAGGCAGGATGTGGCACCACTGAGCTAAATCCCCAGCTCTGGGAGGAAATAGTTAACATAAGTATACCTTGAAAGTCCTTCAGTTTATATTTTAAAAATAAATCTTAGTGGTGCCACTACTTTACCAACAGTACTAGTGCATTACTTGCAATTTGTCTCATTTCTCATAGTAGAATGCTTCATAACATCCTGACTGATAATCGCTGTAGTGGGTAATAGCCATAGGATAGTTTTTAAAAGGAAGTGGCAGGATCCATTGACAGATCACTTTGATGGTGGTAGAGAAGATACGCAGGAGGGACATCTACACTTTATATAGGTACAAGATACTGAGGGCCTCTACCAAGTAGTAGGGACAGACCAGAGGGGACATATTATTAGAAAATTATATCAGAAATAAAAATCAGTAAAATTCAATAGTTGAAGGTTATAGACCAGTGATGGGAAAGCTTTTGGAGCTTTCAATTATATAAACAGCCTGCTGCAGCATGCGTGCCATAGGTTCGCCACCTGTGTTAGACATTATAACTTAAAATGCCTATTTGTTCTCTGTTAGAAGCTCTGGGGAGCTTTTAAATAGTATCAGTGTCTGGGTCCCATTCTAGGATTTCTAGAAATCAGAATTTCTGGGATGTCATCTGGGCACTGATACTTAAAAAATATACTTCATGATTCTTTTTTGAGGCAGGGTCTCTATTTGTAGTTCAGGCTGGCCCTGAACTTACTATGTAGCCCAGTCTGGCCTTGAACTCCCCTCAATCCTCCCGCCTCAGCCTCCCAAGTGCTGGGATTACAGGTGTGCGCCACCATCCTCAGCTCTCCATGATTTTAATGTATAGTCTCTGTTGAGAACTACTCATTCAAGTTTGGAGGTAGAAGTAACAATCAAAGATGACTACCAGGCTGTCAATTTAGGCTACCAGTAGATAGAGGTACTTAGAACATATGTGCTGTGGTAGCTATTTCAAACACTTCTTTTTTTTTTTTGGAGACAGGGTCTCACTATGTAGTTGAGACTGACCTGGAACTCACTATGTAGCCCAGGCTGGTCTCGAAGTCACAGCAATCCTCCTGCCTCAGCCTCCCAAGTGCTGGGATTACACTTCTTGAATTAAATGAAAATTGATGAATTTGATCTCAAAGTAAAATCAATTCTTCCCTTACATTTACTTGCAAATATTAGATTATAATCCAACCAAAGTAACATATCACAGGTAAAGTTATATCTGAATGTATACTTCTTGATATGATTTGAGAAAAAGGGAGATACAAATCACCTAAGATATTTCATGATACTTGAAACAAAATGCCTGTGGAAATAATTTATCTTAATCACAGTATATTACACAAATTATTTATATCGAGTGGCATAGCCAGAGATTTGGGCTCCTAATATCTGGCAAATAAGCAGATTAATTTGGTATGTTTATTGAATTGTAACATGAAACATCTTTAACCTACCAGAAAGTTATAATATTTACCATATCATTTTTTATATTAATGAATAAATTTAAAGCCATTTTTGTCACTTAGTCCCAGAGAGACCCTGTCTGAAAAAAACCAAAAAAAGGGCTTGGGATTTAGCCCAGTGGCACCATACCTGCCTCCAAAACTCAAGGTCCTGAGTTTGATCGCTGATACCCCCCAAAAAAAAGTTACGTTGTAGTTATTGGTACAGAATTTGAGTGACAGAAATATTTTGAGGATACCAGGGGTCGAACCCTGGACCTTGCGCTTGTGAGGCAGGTGGCGGAACCACTGAGCCAGATCCCCAGCCCGTGACAGAATTTTTAACAGCTTTTTAGTATTGGAACTTATACTGTATGCATGACTCATTCTCATTACTGTTACTTGACCCTTTTTGAAAGTATATTCAGTGATTAAGAATCATTCAAAATATAGCCTATAGTTAAGCTCTTTTTCTAGTATCTACAAAATTAAATTTGTTTTTGTTGTTGCTTTTCTGTCATCTTTGTAGTCAATTGCATCTGCAGACATGGATTTCAACCAGTTGGAGGCATTCTTAACTGCTCAAATAAAAAAGCAAGGCGGGATCACATCTGACCAAGCTTCTGTTATTTCCAAATTCTGGAAAAGCCACAAGACAAAAATCCGTGAGAGCCTCATGAACCAGAGCCGTTGGGAGAACGGACTTCGAAACCTGAGCTGGAGAGTTGATGGCAAGTCTCAGTCAAGGCACTCAGCTCAAATACACACCCCTGTTGCCATAATAGAGCTGGAATTCGGGAAACGTGGACAGGTGAGTTTCAATTTAAATTAGTTTCCCTTCATAAACTACACTTTTTATTACATATCATCCAGATTTATTTTTTTACTCTAGCAATCTTTGTAGAGATAGTAAGAATAATAGGAAAAGACCTTGTTTTTCAGAATCTCTTTTCAAAGGTAGAATCATCTGCAAATTTAGATATTCCCAATTATAAATATAGTTTAGAAACCAGCCACAGGGTCCCTGCAGTCTCAGAAGAACAAAACTGGTCAATTAAGAGATTTCACAGAAGTTGGCTCCCCCTGTATTTTGGCTAGATCTCAAAATATGGCATTTGGTTAGATTCTACAGGGCAGTGACAGAGGTGTTACATAAAAAATAAGAATTGAGATTAGGTTCTTTAGCTTTGGTGCTTGGGAAGACTGTGTTTTTTGGACCCCATTTTGAAGAGATGTTGAAAGGTCTTAAGGCCTTAGTTCAGAAGAAAGGAATAGAGCTAAATCAAGAAAGTGCCTCTTCTTGATACTGGTATACCAGACTATAGCAATCTGTCCTTCTACAGCAAACTTGTAGAAATTATTGACTGTACCATGAGAGAATGTGTTACCAATATGGGCTTAATTGTAAAGCAGGTGGTGTTAGGATCACATGGAATAGATCAAATTCTTCTGTTTAAAGGAAGCGCATAAGAAGGGTTGGTTACAAAATCAAATTTCTGCAGTAAATGAGAAATGAGAAATTCTCACAGAATGCAGAGGAAAAGCCCAAAGAAATTAAAACGAGAAAAGAGAAAAAGAGATGTATCTAGGAGATATAATCTACATATAATAGGAATACCTGAAACAGAAGACAAAGCAAATGAAGCTGAAACAATAAATATGGAATTAAATGAAGACAGCTTTCCAGAGTTGAAGAATGAAGTAGGCCTGCAAGTAAAGAAGGCTCACAGTATACCTTTAAAATTTAATGAGAAAAAAGCAACACCTAGACATATCTTTGTGACTTTTACAGGGTCTTGCTATGTAGTTTAGGCTAGCTTTGAACTCACTATGTATCCTAGGTTAACCTTGAACTTGTGGCAATCCTCCTGCCTCAGCCTCCTGAGTACTGAGATTACAGGGGTATGCCACTATGCCTGGCTTCTTGTGTTTTTTTTTTTTTTTTTTTTTTTTTTGTGGTACTGGGGATTGAATTCAGGACGTTGTGCTTGTGAGGCAGGCATGGTGCCACTGAGATAAACCAACGACTCCTTGTGACTTTTTAAAATTTCAAGGATAAAGAAAAAAATTAGCAAGTGCCCAGACAGAGAATGCAGGTTACCTATAAAAGGACAAAAATCAGACTGACCTCAGATTTTTCTCTTAAAATTCTAAATGCCAGAAGACAATGGAACAATATCTACAAAGTTTTAAGGCAAAATAATTTTGAACCAAGAATTATATGCCCTGCAAAGTTAGTATTTGTGTATGAAGGCAACTAGAAGACATTCTCGGATACAAAGGGGCAAGAAAGTATGTTGACCAACAACCTTCTCTGAAATTTTGCTGAATGATTTACTGCAGTCAACAAAAATAGATTAGGGAGTTAGCTGTATGGAAGATTAGATGGTTAGGAATGTGACATCTAGGGGGCTGGGGATTTAGCTCATTGGTGCCATTCTGCCTCGCAAGCTTAAGGTCCTGAGTTCAGTCCCTGGTATCACCCCCCAAAAAGAATATGACATCTAAAATTGTTACATATAGAGTAATAAACCTAAATGCAATATGGATTTGTAAGCTGGTTCTAAAATTTTCAATTTATGTAGTTTTTAAACTGTCAAAGTACATACCACATTTTCAGTGTAGAGAAATACTGTTTTATTTTTGTCATGTGATATTATAAAAAAGATAAGATGTTTTTAAGATGTTAAATAAAAGTGCTTTGTCATTGTGGGCAGGTCAAGTACAGGGAAGACATTCTAAATGTTCATGGGGGAAAAAAAAGCATGTGGCTCAGTATTATGGGACTGGGGATTTAGCTCAGTGGTGCTGCCGCCTGTTTCACAAGGGCAAGGTCCTGAGTTCGATCCCCAGTACCAAAAAAAAAAAAAAAAAAAAAAAAAAAAAGCTACAGTTTTAATTCCTTTTTAAAAAAACTAACAAGTTCATAAATGCTAACACTAACAATGTGAGGAGAACATTTCCAAAGCATTGGATGGTGAGGGGTGGATATGTTTGAAATCCTGATTGGAAAACCAGTAATTACTGTATATTAGATGGTAGTTTATATAAGGTGATTTGTCATTAAATTGTGGATAAAAATAGGTTATATACATTCCAAGTTCTACTTTCCAATGGAAAATAAATGAAAACCCAAGAAAAAATAGAAAAAGAAAAATACCAAGGAAACATTAAAATTTGCATAAGAGATATTGACAGAGATAGATGTGAATTATACTCAACCTGGATAAATTCCCAATTAAGATCCAAATTGAGTGAAAAAAAATCTTTGATTTGAGATATATTTGTGTACAAAGGTTAAAGGGATTTAAAGGTAATAGAAACTCTAGGTAATAGAAGTGGAGAGTAATATTTTTATTAGGCAGAAATAAGATGTTACAAAAAATTTCTCATTTAAGAAATTATGTGGCAGGAGCCGGGGATTTAGCTCAGTGGTTCTGCTGTCTGCCTTGCAAGTGCAAGAACCTAATCCCAGCACTCAGGAGGCTGAGGCAGGAGGATCACTGAGTTTGAGACCAGCTTGGGCTACATAGTGAGTTCCAGGTCAGTCTGAAGTACATAAAGTTGCCTCAAAAAAAAAAAAAAAAAAAGGAAATTATGTGGCACTCACGTGCAAGATTTTTGTTCAATATCTCGATGTGGATGGTAGTTTTACTGTTATAAACCGATATATATGTGTATATATATTTGTTTGTTTTGTGGTTGTTTGTTTTTTTGACATAGGGTCTTGCTATTAATTCAGGCTGACCTTGAACTCATTATGTAGCACAGGCAGGCCTCGAACATATATTTTATTTATTTGTTTGTTTGTTTGTTTGTTTGTTTATTTATTTATTTTTGAGACAGGGTCTCACTATGTAGTTGAGACTGACCTGGAATTCACTATGTAGTCCAAGTGAACTCACAGCCATCCTCCTGCCTCAGCCTCCCAAGTGCTGGGATTATAGGCGTGTGCCACCACGCCCAGCCTTGGAACATATATTTTAAAACATTCAAAATTAGTAATTTTATGTACTTAAAAGTCATTAAGTAGTGTTTCAATGAAAGGGAATATATGTAGCAGAAAAATAAGTGAGATTAAACAACACAAAATAAAACTGTCTTATCCCATTGTCCTTAAAGTCAGTCAGTGTAGGAGGTAATGCATCCAAATTGAAGTATCATTGCTAAAAACCCAAGTGTACTGTTTCTGATCTTGAGTTCACACATCATTTTCAATTTGATCTTGATTATTCATAAAACAGTGCTTCTTTTCTTTGCAGTTTCCACAATCATTATAGCAGATTAATTTTAGTGTCTACATGAGTTTTCTTGAAGGCGTTTAGTTTCTGTTCCAGATGCCTGCCAAATCATATTTTCAATGACCTGGCTTATATCTGTTAGGGAGTGGGTCAAGGAGAGGGGGAAGAATTGGTAATTTGGAAGAAAATACCCAGATCATTGTATTAGCTAATTAGATTTATTTTTAGATAAATAAATAAGTACTTCTGTTATATCCTGTGATAGAAATTTGTTTCTGTTCTTAATGATGAGTGTATTTTTTAGCTGGTAAGTAATGTCATATATACTCTTCCCTAATTTTACCTTTTTAATTGAAAAAAAGGAATTCATTTTAAAAATTCTTTATAAAAGTAAATTTAGAGTACCTTTTATTCAATTAATGTAAATGGTGCTAATTTTAATTACTAAGTTTGGTTTACCTGATCTTAAAGTTTATTCTATTAATTATTATGCTATATTGTTCCTAATAAGCAGACTTACTAGGATATCTAGGTTTGGATATCTAAGTTTCACTGGCTATTGTATAGGCTCTTCACGTTTTTTTCTGACAACAGTGATGATAGGGCTGGGGATTTGGCTCAGTGGTTCCACAGCCTGCCTTGCAAGTGTAAGGGCCCGAGTTTGATCCCCAGTACCACAAAAGCAAAAACAAAATATTGAAAAAAAAATAGTGATGATAGTCATGCCTCAGTATCTGTAGGGGAATCAGTTCCAGGACACCCCCAACCCTCTGCATGGATACCAAAGTCCAAGGGTGCTCAAGACCCTTACATATGACATAGTATTTCATATAACCTACACAATCCTATGTATTTTAAATAATTTTTAGGTTATCTATAATACCTGATATGGAAATGTGTTTATACTGTACTGTTAGGGAATAATAACATGAGCACATACATGTTTAATACAGAAGAAATTTTTTTCTGAATTTCTTTTTTTTTTTTTTTTTTTTTTTTTTTTTTTTTTTTTTTAGACAGGGTCTTGCTGTGTAGTCCAAACTGGCCTTGAGCTTACTGTGTAGCCTAGGCTGGCCTTCAACTTTCAGTGTTCCTTCTGTCTCATTCTCCTGAGTGCTGGGATTACAGGCATGTACCACCATGCCTGGCTTTTTCTGAATTTTTTTTTATCTGGGTTTATTGAATTCTCAGATGTAGAGCTTATGAATAGGGAAGACTGACTTCATTTCATTTTGTCTTTAAGTATTTAATATTTAGGCATGAATATAAAAACATATCTATTCAAGACTCCTACAAATAAATTTATAGTATGTATGTATGTATGTATGTATTTATTTATTTTGGAACCAGGGATTGAATTTGGGACCTTGCACTTGCAAGGCAGGTGATGGCCCTATGGTTTTTTGTTTTGTTTTGTTTGGTACCAGGGATCAAACTCGGGACCTTTCGCTTGCAAGGCAGGTGGTGGAACCATTGAATTAAATCCCCAGCCCCCTATAGCACTTGTTTAATTTATTTATTTGGTACCGGGGATCGAACTCTGGTCCTTGTGCTTGTGAGGCAGGTGCCG